TACAAACGGTACCTGGGCTGTAGCTAATCTGCTTTCTTGTAGCAGAGAACTGAACCTTTCTTCTCCTTCAGTTTGATGTTAAGTAATCTATGAAGATTTTATCCTTTTCCAGACATGCAGCAAAGTTCCCAAGTTATCAGCTTGTTTAAACAATTTCTGATTACTCATTTATTTATCAAGCTTAACTGACATGTTTTTGAATTCATTCTTAAAATGTAGGAATTGCTGAATTTTCAAAAATCATTCACCTGTACACTGCATGTGACAATCTGCAGTCCAATGTCTAAATAGTGCTTACATTATTTGAAATAGTCTTAATTTAAACCAGTTGGTTTCATAAACTCTTATCTAAAATGTGTAACTTTAGTTTTTATTCAGCTGCAAGTAACTGCCTTACAAGGTTTTTGAATTCACTAGTCAACTATAATTAGGCATTTACAGTATATATGTATTATGTACAAATTGTATAAAATTATTGAACTGCTAAAAATCTGTTAATCCTGTCCTGTAAAGTCTGTCATGACTATAGGTACAATATAAATGTTTTTTTGTAAATCAACACTTTCCAGAATATCTCCAGGGATTTAACTCTTCATATTGCTTCATTTGCTGTTCATACATTTTACATTTAATACACATGATGCAAAATGGAACTGTGTAAAGTTCTTATTTAAACAAATACAATGGTTTATTCAGTGTATACAACTGACTAAAGATGCTTGAATAGATGGCATGAATTGCATGCAGGTGAACATTCAGGTACTAAGGTAGTTGTAGCATTCCTTTCTGGGTGCATTTTGCGATTAATATTAAAAGCCTGTCCCTGACATCAAAATAGGCATTCTGTGGTATTGAAGGATACAGTATGTAACTGATTTCCAGGGCTGTGTTTTATTGTATATAAAGAAGTAGAGGTAAAGGAGTAATGTTCAAGAACAATAAAACAATTTTTACATAATGCTCTTAAACAGTGGCAATGGTCAAATCGGTTAGTAATGCCTATGGAATGAATAGCAATATACAATATGAAATGTAATGTGCTTACATTAAAAACAATTTGCTAAGATATCAAAGTAAAACTTTGCCCATTTTTGTGGAATTATGCATTACATCATCCAAAGTCAATTTAATTGGGATTAAGGAAATACTTTTTTTTTTGCAATTTGTGAACTTAACTTCAAGCTCTGTGATGCAAAATGGAATAGAATGACAAGTGCATCAGATCCATCAAAATAAACATCCTTTTTTTAATTTAATATTGACTTTTCTTTTGTACACTTTTTAAATATCTGTGTACATCTATCTATGTATAAGTATATTCTATATGTATATTTACATGCATACAGCCACACATACAGTACACAGTGCCTGGTAAGCATTCGGGGCATTCTTGCTTTACCTAACACACTGAGGGGAATATTCAGTTTTTTCCCCCAATTTCCTTTTAGAGGATTTTGATTGGTAGAGTAAGTTTTATGTATGGGCATTTAAGTGTGCTGCTTATAAACTCCATTTAGCCGTTTTTACGGGGAGACTAGTGACACTTAAGTACTTCCCCAGTGCAGCATTAAGCTCTTGCCTGCTTAGTCTGTAAATGTCACAACAGATATGAGGTATGGTCACCTACTGTATAATTAATGTTATAGAATAAAAGTTTTGGTTCTCAGTGGGGTATACCAATTTCTCAATTCCACTCCCACTGTTGCCACAGCAAATGAACACTTCCTGATCTAAAATGCATATAAATCTGGAAACTTTTTGATAATCCACTGCTTTTCAGTGAAAGAAGTTGCCTTTTTCAGTAAGGTACAGTACATGTGATTGGATTCCATATCTTGGCTCTGTGCTTAATTTGTATACACTGCTAAGTGCAGGACTTAATTTAAAAATGTATTTACTGTGGCAAACTACTTTTTTTAATGTACAGTTTAAAACCATTAAACTTCCTTCATTGCAAATGTGCTACTACAGCTAATTTTAATTCATGCATCCTTTTTGGTGATTTTATGGAGGTGGTGTTCTAATCATTTCTTGTGATCAGATTTCCTAGAAAGTGACGTACTCTTTCATAATTTTAGGCCATTTTAATTTGTGCAGTTTTTTTTTAGACCTTAAGCATACAGTATGACTTAGGATCTTATTTGCTTTCACTTCAGTGTGCTGTACTTGGGTGCAGTCAGTATTAAGTACATTGGCAGTGTTCAAGATATGCAGCTGGATAAGATGTTACATATTGGGATGAATAAGATCACATTGATGATGGGAATCAAATTTACTTGGTTATACCAGCCACTAATGTATTTAACAAACTAAAAGGATGAAATGTAGTTGAACAGTCTAGATTTGCATTACTCATGGATAAGGTTCCTTCACATTCACAAGGGTATTCTGGAATGATGCCACACACTTTCATCCTCCAACAATGTGAGCAAATATTTCTCTTGAAAGAATGGCGCTGCTCCTCTTCTACAGAAATCCAGACACTTGTCTATTGCAGAGCATATGGCCATATTGACCCAATGCTCTATTGTGATTTTATATCTGTCTGTTACCCGTGTACTATGGTGTCATACTAAAGCTGTTGTGCTACAGTATTGCAGCTTACCTTTCTTTTTTTTGAAGTGGGACTGCTTTTGCTTCTACTGTGTAGTTTTTTCATGTCTCTAACATCCTGTCCAGTTGACCCTCTCTTCATGCTCAAATATTCTTGTCTGCTGAACAAAATTCTCCTGTTATTCAGATTTGATATTTTCAGCAAAGACTGCTGTGCTAGTGGTATTTTATGGTGAAGGATAAAAGGTGGAAGTTATATTCAGTAAACTATTTTGTAAAAGTTTTTAGCATCAAGTCAGCTAAATGCTGCAGCACATATAAACTTAATTTATAGGGAATATCTTACAAGCTGATACTACTGTATGTATATATTGCTTTTGGGGTTGATCATGCAATGCCAAATGTGTAATGTGTGAATGCATTTGGAGCTTATCTGTTTAACCATTATTGCCTCTCTGGCTTGTTCATTTTGTTCTGATCACGCTGTTACTTGTTGGAGGTGATTGCTGTCAGATGTTAAACAATGTGAATAGTAAAAAAATTAAGTGTATAAGCCTGTTTAATGCATAACAACCTGTTTCTCTTTTAGCTGTAAAAGTGATTACAACTTCCTTGATCTGAGAAGTCCACTAGGTGCTTCATTACTTTTGCAGTGTTAAGTATTCAATTCAATTTTTTATATAGTGCATTTCACAACAAGGTTGCCCTAAGGTGCTTAAAATACAATACTTTCCAGCATGAGCTGGGCTGGGTTGTACATAAAGCTTCAGCTTTCTGCATGGGTACTTGTAAGGGTCAGATCAATACTCCAGTGTTATGTTCTGACTTGCCCTATAGGCCTCAGAGGAGATACACACATCTTTGGCTACTGTGGTTAATCTTCACTAAATTTTTCTGAAGGGTACAACAATTTGGTGGCCTTGACAGGTTAGTTTTTCCATGGGTATGGATGGACTCCAGAGCTAGAAAATTGAGATTACTTGTCAAATTAGTGCCTTTTTACTCCTCAGTCCTTTGTAGTGAGATACCAGGCCGGTATCATGTTGAACTGTATTGTTTTTAGAAAATACACAGTAGAAGCGTCTTTTGTCTTTTCTACAAAGTTTATCCCATTTCTACATTTCTCATGCAGTTACACTGAACTATTTGTTCTTTACAACATTTGGCAAGATTTCATGCTAAATATACTTCATGCTAAGTATTTCTGAGAAAATGCTGATCTTGAAATATATGCTAGGTACTCAGACCTAGTTTTTATTTCTTTAATATAGGTCACAGAGCCTTAACTGTATCCGAGCCAAAGACAACTTGTAAAATAGTTTTGTCACGTGATATGTATATTAATCGTATTGTTACTTTGTCCCATCTTAATTTAAGTGATTTTGCTAAGGTTTGGGACTGGGCACCAAACACTTTTTGTTTGATTTTGTTGTAGCGCAACCTTCTGCAGCAGTGAAATGTTTGGGTTAAATGCTAACCTTCAGAATGACTTTCAAGCCGATTATGCAGTGTGTGCCAAATGCTGTGTTAATAATATCACTGCCTTAAATTGTGTATGAATAAAGGATGTGTGTGGAAAGCTGTGTGCAGTAATGTACCACCATGCGATAGCAAGTGTCAAATGCTTATTATTCCAGATCACTGGGTTGCTCTTCTGTCACACCATTAAAGCTACAATGCAGTGTCCTTGCTGTGCTATAGTAGGTCTCTTATAAATTTGAAGGATGTACAGATGCAGTAATTTGACTTTAAAAAAAAATCCTCAATCTGGCAAAATGAACCATTTCCTTAAACTTGAGTAAACGTTATTGTCATCCTGAGCATCTTTTGATTTTTAGTTTTCTGATATTTTTCTGCCTTTGTAAGCTTGAATTACCAACTTGGAAAGATGACTGTTTTGTCTTTTTCAGATATTGTTGGCAGTGACCTTGAAAATGTTTAACCTGGCAATGGTTTTTGTGTTGGTCTTATTAACACATGGCTTACAATAAGGAATCAAGCTTATAAGTGGCAGCCTTCTTGATTTTGATCAAAAAGCGCTTCAGTAGGTAGTCATTGTGAGCTTTAAAACAAATGTGCTGTAGTAATGGTGTTATGGTTCCATCCAGATGTAATTGTGCTTTCTTTTTGGATGGGCTCCTTTTGAAAGTTTGCAGATTTTATGAAAATTGGCTAACTTGTTTATTCTGGAAGTTTTACATTTTTTTTCCTTGATTTGTCATCCTTTCACTTGGCCTTTTCTGCTTAATCTGATTGCTTTCATACATGTCTGGTTGAGTGTGTGCTTTTAAAATTCATCTGATAGGATTAGATTGGAATTGGCCTCTACCGGGTTAGCCAAGCTGCATGGACGTGCTCTGAATAGACAATAAAATTGCTTAAAATTGACTGTTGCTTTACTTTTTTTGTCCATCTAACATACAGTACTTTTTGTGTCCATATTGCAGACGGCAACACCAAACTAACATGGCAGTCAGACTGTGTGATGTGGCTTCTCTTCTTAGAAGTGGCTCGTGGGCAGCAGAGCCTTGGACTGGGGTCTGTGGGACTTTTCTTAAATTCTGTAGGCTTTTATTAATCATTTAATGTTCAGGCCATACCAAATACACTATGCTTTAATTTATAACCAAAGTTCAAATTGTCTTAATGTGTATACAGCTTAGTTTTACCAAGACTTAATTTGATATGTAATCATAATTTTAATTTCCATTGTTTTGGTATGGTCTAACTGAATTTCGCTGTATAACAGGTAGCCTGCAGTCTATAGTTTTGTACAAATTTTGCAAGGAAACATTTCTTAAAGGGTTATTTTAGGGCTGTTTTTCTTTCCCTGTACTGTTTTAAAAGATTTTTCTCTTAAGGAGGCCTCACATTAACACTAATCAATATTAACAGTTAAAAAAGGATGCTTCTTTTCACACAGCCAGTGTTGACAAGGTGTCACATACAATGGGAGGTTTCAGAAAAGAAGGCCCAAAGAATTTACCATGTTCAAAACCCTGTTTTTTCTTTAGCGCAGAGGTGGAGGTGGGTTAGCATGCAGACTTATACATCTTAATATTTTTGCACTAACCCTTTAAAAACCACTGCAACATCTTTTGTTTCTGCCCATTATAGGAGCATTGGTACCCATTCACTGATTTATCTGCAAAGTCTTGCATATTAACATTAAGAATCAATTCAGAGCAGATGGTTCCATGGATGGGAAATGCTGTAATTTACCAGCACATATACTGCTGCAGCTGTTCACTTGAATCTTGGCTAAGAATATCATTTCTGCCACCTGGACTTGAAAGTAAATGTGCAATTAAGTGTGATTGTTTGTTGTCTTTCCCTGATCCTGCTAATTTCCAAAAAAGAACAGTTTGTTAAACAGTTTCTGCTGCCTGCTTAACTGTACCAGTTAAACTGCACCCCTGCCAGCATTTAACATTTGGAGCTTCTTGGTTCTCGAATTGACAGGAATGTCACACAGCACTTTCTTAATCTTTGTCCTTGTGTGGCTTATTTGCTGGTGTTTGCGTGCTCAGCTTCAAACTGAAGACTAGTTAAATGGCCACTTATGTGGAATTGCAGAATTTTCTCTTTTGACATTTAAGATGAGCTCTAGATAATCTAATTCCTTTTTCCTTATTAACCTCTTAGATGGCAAACGTTGTATGAGAATGTTGTGATAACTTTTCTGTAGTTTCAAATTAGGAATTACGGTCAACACTTGAATATGAGCAAAAAAAACCCAGTCTTGGGGAGAAGCCGTGCCCTGCATGTATCTTATAGACAATGTGTTCTGTGAGCCCTGCATGTGCTGTCAGGTGAAGTAATTGTCTGTGGGCCAGAAAGGAGCTGTGCCAAGTATGTCAAGGTCATAAAAGGGGGATCTGTGATTGTACTGGTAAGGCTTACTCTTTCAAGGTAATGGGTGTCCAGCTTTTTCCCCCATAGTTTACCATGTAAATTCTTTGCCACTTAACAAGTTAACTATAGTGGTTTTTGGATATTTTATCTTATTTTTATAATGTATGCCTTGATGTTTTTAACTCAACATGTTTCAACAGGTGGGATATGAATAACTGAATAAAAGCATAATACAGCATTTTAGTGCACTTGTAGCCTACTTTTAGAGAACTATTGGGCATTATTTTAAATCAGATTTTTTTGTTTCTTGCACAGAATGCTAGGTAATTTTAAAACTTTAAACTAGTTTGGAATTACAGGAATTGTAAGAACTATGAGATCTCTGTGAAGGTGGAAACGTTAAAACGCAAATGGTAAAAAGAGCACAGAGGACTGTCCAGAATTGTGCACAATCTGGTGTTAAGCCTTTATTGTATTTTTCCTAATGCAAAATATCTTCAACATGAAGAAATCAGTTTTTAAAAGTCCAGAAAGAGGGTATCTTTCCTCTACAGTAATGTGTTCTAAAATTAATGCATTTTAATGAAGTTCACACAACCTTAATTTGCATAAATTTCTGCAAATACTATTAAATTGACACTGATATAACTGCTAAATTGATGACGAGCATCCTTATTTAACTGTACAATTAAATTTTAAAAGATGCTAAAATCGATTTTAAAGCATTAGGCCTGACCTTTTTTTCTTTTTTTAGCAGGTAATTGCTGCCATGGAAACACAGCTGTCCAATGGACCCTCGTGTAACAACACCACCAATGGCCCCACCACAATTTCAAACAACTGCTCCTCGCCAGTAGAATCAGGAAGCATAGAGGACAGTAAAACTAACTTGATAGTCAACTACCTTCCTCAGAATATGACACAGGAAGAGCTGAAGAGTTTGTTTGGAAGTGTGGGTGAAATAGAGTCCTGTAAATTAGTACGAGACAAAATAACAGGTACTGTATGAAAAATCACTTTGTTAAAGTATGGCTCAATTTGAAATATCGGTTGCACATTGTCATTTTCAGCTATTTTCAAAATCTTGTTGTGTAGGAAATAGCAGATTTCTGGGGCATCTTAATCCTTCTTGAAGGTTTTATCACTTGGTTTCTGTAATTCAAATTTTATTGTGCAAGTCATTTCAAGTTTTTTTTTTCAGGGATATCAAGGGCAACCTCATGTTACATCTTAGCCCTTTTAGTGGTTAGCTGTTATGTGGTCTCTCTCAGTACTGTTATGCAATCACAGCCTCAAAATAGCACCTACATGTTACTTATGATAGTTTGTGGTGATTCACATTCTGAACTTTTTGAATATCACGTTTGTTAGCATCTGTAAAAAATAACCAGGACTCTCTAGTCTTTATATGCTCATGGTTTTCTGACTATTTGTAGATTTTTTTGTAAAAAAAGATGGTCTTGATCTCTTTTATCTATGGTGTCATGAATTATGGAACTCCTCTTTTTACCCCCCAATTAAAGCATAAGGCTTGCAATTTAAGATGGTTACCGAGGCAAAAAGACTTTTTAACAGAGTAAAATACTCTAATTATATGCCATTTCTAAGTGAAAACTATAATAAAATTTACCCAGCAGCGAGACCAATTTGCCATACTCCATTAAATACTCATTTATTTGTTAAATATCACTGGTTTTAATTTGTATTTTTTAAACTGCTTGTTCTAATCATTTTCCCATGCCCTGAGCAAAATTGTAAATTTAACCCAAGGGGAATTTGCAATGCTATGTGACAATTCTTATTTTTATGGTCTATGCCAGTGTGTTCTTGAGTACTTTTAGTGGGGACTGTTGGGTCCTTTCTTGTTTTTGGACTTCACTACAGTTCATCCACACTAGATTGTGTCACAAGTCCCACAATAGGATGACTGAGGAGAAAATTGGGATTTGTGCCTGGGACCGTGGGATGGTGGTCACCCATAATGGGCGAACAACATTGGTTATGAATGAAATGGGCACCTGATGTTTTTTATTTAAGATTTAGGACACTATTGAAATTGTCCTGGGTACTAAGTGTTCAGAAAACTGTGCTGAACTTCTAGTTCATACCTTTCTAGTAGTGTAGCATTCACCAAGTCTGAATGATGGGTTTTGAGCATGTGATCAGAACCAGCTACAGTTTTTGATAGTACAGTTGTGTGCAAAAGTTTGAGCATTTCAATTAGAAAAGGACATGTTTTGTTAATTTTCTAATTGAAATGAACACAACCTCTGCACCAAACAAACTTAAACTTTCTTCAAATTTTAATGCATAATTACTATTTATTTGCTGAATTTAACTGATTGGGGGGGGGAATAAAACTAAATGTGGCATGTGCAAAAGTTCGGCTAGTGTTATTTTTTTGTAAGGTCTCTGAACTTAACTTGTTAGGCCTTAATCCAAGTCGGATGATGACAATTCCAGAGCTTAAGTTCTCTAACTCTTCGAACCTCTCAGGATGTTGTGCTTACACTCAACAACCATGGGCTCCTCTAAGCAGCTGACTGGGGATCAGAAAATAAAGATAATTTCCTCTTACAAAGCAGGGGAAGGCTATAAAAAGATATCTAAATTCTTCCTGCTTGCAATTTTCACTGTCTGAAATGTCATTAAGAAATGGCAGTTAAGGGGAACTGTTGAAATCAAGACAAGATGTGGAAGACCAAGAAAAATGTCAGTTAGAACTGCTCATAGACTGGTCAGGAATGCACAGCAAAACCTCCAGATCACTGCAAAGGACCCGCAGGAAGGTTTAGCTGGCACAGGAGTAGTGGTGCACTGTTCCATTGTGCAGCATTGCTTGCACAAACATCTGTATGGAAGAGTCATCGGAAGGAAACCTTACCCGCGATCTCAAACTTCAAAGTCTGAAGTATGCAATGCAACACTCGGATAAGCCAGAGGTTTTTTAGAACCAAGTGCTGTGGTTTGGTGAAGTAAAAATTGAACTCTATGGCAACAATCACCAAAGGTACGTTTGGAGACAAAAAGAAGTATTTGAAGAAAATAACACCTTGCCAACCGTTAAGCATGGGGGTGGATCTGTTATGCTTTAGGGTTGTGTGGCAGCCCATGGCACAGGAAATATTGTGTGGGTAGAGGGAAGAATGGATTCTACTAAATATCAACAAATCCTGGAAGCTAATGTCCTATAGTCGGTGAAGAAACTGAAGCTGAAAAGGTTACATTACAAGACTGATCCAAAACATTCCTCAAAATCAACCATGAAATACTTAAAGGAACGAAAGATTAAAGTTTTGAAATGGATTTCAGTCCCCAGGCTTGAATATTATATTTGCACATGCCACTTTTACTGTTTTTATTTTTTCAATCTGCACATGTTATTTGACCAGGGGTGCCCAAACTTTTGCATTCAACTCTACAGAAGCAAATGTGAGCAACTTGGTTGTATCCATAGCGTCTGTTAGCAGTTTCTTGGGTGATTTAAAATAGTTTAGGTGCATTAGACTAGGCTATATTAAAATTTGTTACCCATGTTCCAATATGGAATGCTATCTTATAGGTAGATATGAAGAATGGCTCTTCAGAAATTGTTGGTTTGGTTTCACACTGGTGCTGGAATGTGAAACTGCTTGACCTTTTTATATGTAATACATTTGTCGGTAGCATTGATTACTGCGTTCTTTTCTGTTTTGATTTTCTTTCATTCACTGTGGAAAAACAGTTCTTACCCATATGGAACCAAGGGTGTACATAAGTATCAATGGTTAGAAATAGTTCAGTAATTCTACCCTACACATGAGCTACTAATGCAAAACACCCCTGACCTTGTGATTTGCAACTGTTGTACAGTATATATTATGTTGTCTGCATGCTATATTTTGTTTCATGTACCATCACAGTTGAAAGCCAGAGAAGGGAAGCAGGCTGATTGTGTCCCATGTGAAATACTTCTGGATCTGTCGCTGGATGAAACAGTCGTGCTTGAGAGTAGATAACTTTTTATTGCATGATCTTCCTTTCAATTTGATGTCTTAAATTGAGATCGGGAACTAGCGATTTCTGGTAAAGTAGACTGTAGTGATTATCTGATCCATGAAAATAAACATCTTTAATTGATGAGGTTTTAAAACTGGCCTGATTCAAACTTCTACAGTGTACTCCACTAAGTTATTTACCTTGACCTAGTTTTTGTTAAAAACAGATTGATTTTATTAAATGTCTGCCAATCTCTTAAACATTTTGCTGTTTTTGTTTTAAAAACAGTGAGTGAACATTGTGGACTTTTTTGGGACATGCAAATCCTAGCTTGTTTAATTTGCAGGTTCCTGGAACTTGAAAGGTGTTGCATTTTTTGGGGGGATTATGAATTTACCGCTTTTGTTTAGATCTAGGTGTCTGCATCATTTATATGATGACCTAAGGACTACCCTAGAGCCCTAGGTGAGCCAACACTTGGAATATTCCCTTGCACTTAAGTATAGTGTTTGCAGAAGTATTTAAATCATTGCATGTTTTCAATTTTGTTGCTTGTAAAGCTTATGACATTTAGGAGAAACACCCTGCCCCTAGACACATTAAAAGAAAAAGTTCATGTGAAAAAATGCCAAAGTAATGTTTGAAAAAATATTCATCCATTTGCTGTGGGGAAAACCTCAATTTAGGTGCACACTAAGATGAATGGCCTGGGTGTACAGTAATGGTGATTCACATGCTTTCAGAATAAATATACCCATCACTGTAAGGTCCCTTAGTCCCGTAGTGAATTTCAAGGATTCTGCTGTAGACTAAAGAGCTTTTGGGGATAATAGTGTGTAAAGGTGCAGATCTGAAGAGCACCATAAAGCATTTCAAAGGCCCTTAAGTCTTTGAGCACTGTGAAATCAATCATTAGGAAAAAGAAAGGTACTCACACTGCCTAGGACAGGGGGGAAACCACATCACTAGAGATGCATCTTCTGTACAAGGTCAACTGGCTTTGAGAGAGTTTAGTGGCTCAGACAGGACAAAATATCCTATTTGTTCCACAAAGGTGGCTTATTGAAAAAGGCTGTGGAAATGGGGGAGGGAGATGGTTTGCAAAAAGCATTTAATTGGTACTGCAAACATTGCAAAAGGTTTTGTGGTCATGGACAAAACTGGAAGTTGACTCTAAATGCAAAGCGTTACATCTAATGCAAACCCAACAGCTTATTACTAAGTCAACACAATTCTTGTCGTCAAGTGTGGTGTTTGCAGCAATCCCATTGAGATTTTGTAAAAAAAAAAGACTTGTCAACTGCTGTCCACAAGTAATTGCTAAGCAACTTGAGAGAACTTGAGCAAATTGGCAACTTTGCTCACTTCTAGGCAAGAGGGTTGTGGCTGTAATTTTTGCCAAAGGTACTTTCACCAAGCAGTTCTTTTGTTGTTCTTGCTGACATTTTTATTAAGAAGGTAAATTTTGGTTTAGTAGGTTTAAATTTAAGTTTTAAGAAATGTATGCATCATTTTGTAATTTCACTGACACCATAGGAATTGTCTGAATAACCATTTAGAAAAATGTATCCTGTACTTCGGTTTTTATTAGAAGGCTTTACTGCTGGTATTTGCTGTAAGAGCTATAGTTAGAAACTAACATCTCTTGCCCCACAATCTTTGTATCCTTCTTTTAACCAGACCACTTTGCTCTCCACTTCCAGAAGTAACTAGTTTCCAATACATTGGATGTACAGTATGTGTAACATTAGATGTCTTCATGTTTCAATTTTAAGACTAATTTCCTCAAAGATGTCTAACTTGAAAGTTTTGAAGTTCAAAGTGAATTTCAGCCCTTTATTTACTTTTGATTTTAGTATTTTGTTCATTTTAACTGACAATTGTTCTTGCATCTGTGTAAGGCTGCCCTTTGTGAACCTTGTTTCCAGAGAAATTTAAGAAATGTGGGTTAAAAAAAAACCTCCCATACCATAAACGAAAGTTTGACATTTAAAAAAGACTTTAAGAGACCTGAAGGGGC